TGCCAAGAGGCATGGGTCCGTGTGCTCCTCGAATTTCACTGCCCCCCAAATCGCTGCGCAATTTAGGGGCGACTAAAATTCAGCGTCGCCCCTCCCTGGCGTTGCGTTTCCGCGCGCACAATGGGAAGCCAGCTTCCGTGCAGCTGGCAGGGGCAATCCTGGGATACACCCAGACGCCCAATGCACACAGGTGGTCCGGACAGCTGCATTGCGGAAGTGTCTGAAAGGAAGCGGCCCCATTGCACAGACCAGACGCAATCGCAACTGCGTTGACTTTCTGCGGCCTGCTTGTGGCGCGTTCGCGCTCGACGCGCTGCTCAGGCGATCGCCTGTTCGCCTGAACCGATGTGCGCGTCTCCGCGCCGCTGCACTAAGAATTCTCGCTTGCAGCGCAATACGCGCCTCGACACCAATCGGGCGCGCTTTCGCCCAGTGCTGTGCATCCTGCGCTGCAATGGGCAATCCGGCCGCGCAATCGCGTCCACCTGCGAACTCAAGTGTTCGACGCCCAGATTCCGCAGCTCGGCGCGCTTGCACTGGTTCCAGCACCTCTGCAATCTGGCGCATTCCGCGCTCTTCGCCTCTTCGGCTTGCAATTTCGCACCCAGATTGCATGCGTTCTGCCACAACCATGCGCTTCGCGCCCAGATTGCGAATCTATCGCTGCCGCTGTGGCGAAAACGCACCGCCGGGCTGGGCGCAATTAGCTGATTCCAGCGCAGTGGCGCGCACCCCAGCACGCACGCGTAATTGGCGCATGCGGGCTCAGATTGCGGGTCCGGCACGATGCGCCATCCCCAGGCATACGCGCAGACCGGCGCATTCCGCGCAGATATTCCAAACCCGGGTTGGGCACGCCGCGCGGGGGTGCACGCGAAGTCTGGCACATCCTGCGCTGAAAATTACAGATGCGGGCGCGTCTCACCCGTCCTGGCGCCAGCATGTATCTTGTCGTATTCTGCGCTCAAACTGCACGCCCCGCCGCGTTTCGCCGTGTCGGAGCAAACGCGCTTACCGACGCATTCCGCGTCCAACTGAAAAATTTGGGCGCGTTCCGCCGTCATGGCACCAACGCGGACTTCGGCGCACTCCGCGCTAAGATTGCGGACAGGCAGCTGCGTCCTACCGTTCCTGGTACAAACGACGCGCAGCTGGCGCATTTTCCAAAATGACGGCCACGCGCGCGCCCCGCAGGCGCCCCGCCAGCGCCTCACGATTGCCCCGCAGGCGTCCCGCGAGCGCGCCGCCAGCGCGCCTCGAGCACCCCCAGGCGCCCCGGCGAGTGCCTGGCGAGTGCCCTGCGAGCGCCCTCATAAGTCCCACGGGCGCGCCCGAGCGCCCCTCGAATGCACGCCGCCAACAAGAAACCTCAGGGCGACCACTGGACCGAGCACACCTGCCCCAGGTCGCCCCTCTCTCAGAGCCCCGAACGTCTCTCTGGTGATCGCCACCGAGGAGAGCTGCCAGACGGAACTCGCAGCCCCGAGCGCCGAGCGGACAGACAGACAAACAGACGGACAGACAGACAAACAGACGGACGGACGGACAGACAGACGGACAGACAGACGACAGGACAGACAGACCGACCGACCGACCGGCCGAAGCCCCCCACAGCGAAGCGTGGGAAAAACAACAAACGTTGGGGCCACAGGACATCCCGAGGAGCCAAGCTCGGGAACTCCCAGTAGGGAGCGCTCGCTGCCGCGAGCTTGCCGCAAAGAGGAACAGAGGCCATGATGCCAAGAGGCATGGGTCCGTGTGCTCCTCGAATTTCACTGCCCCCCAAATCGCTGCGCAATTTAGGGGCGACGAAACGCCGCCGGGCCGTCCGGCCACAGGGAAAAGCCACTGGGCCGTCCGGCCACGGGGCAAGCCCACCCGGGCCGAGGGAAATGCCGCTGGGCCGTCCGGCCACGGGGCAAGCCCATCCGGGCTGAGGGAAATGCCGCTGGGCCGTCCGGCCATGGGGCAAGCCCATCCGGGCCGAGGGAAATGCCGCTGGGCCGTCCGGCCACGGGGCAAGCCCACCCGCTGAGGGAAACGCCGCCGGGCCATCCGGCCGGCCCTAGGCTGCCCTGCGCAGAAGCTTCGCAGAAGCCTCGCAGGCGCCTCGGAGACGCCTCGCAGACGCCTCGCAGAAACCTCGCAGACGTCTCGCAGACGCCAGGCAGCAACCAACCAACCAACCAGCCAAGCGAAGCAACCACGGCACGCCCGCCGAGCGGCCGAGCAGGCTGAGCGCCATCCGGCGCTACGCCAAGCCCCAGGAGCATGGCCGAGAGGCTGCAACCAACCTCCCAGCCAACTGAGCAGCGAGGACGAGGAGGAGAGGACAACCTGCCGCCAAGCAGCACCCAGGCCGTGAGAATGCCCCAGCCAAGGACGAGGAGAGGAGAACCGCCTGCCGTCCAGCAGCGCCCGAGCCGTGAGAACTCCCCTGCGGTGCCAGGAAGCGGAGAAGCCAAGAGGCCCCAAGAAGGCCTGCCCCGCGATTGTCCTGCCCCGCAAACCGCCACGCGGTTTGCGGGCCATGGAAAAGAAACAAAAAGAAAGAAAGAAAGGAAAAAAAAAAAAAAAAAAAAAAAAAAAAAAAAAAAACACACACACACACACACACACACACACACACACAAAAAAAAAAAAAAAAAAAAAAAAAAAAAAAAAAAAAAAAAAAAAAAAAAAAACACAACGAATTCGCAGGCTGCCCTCGCAGGAGCAAAGGGCAGCGACGCGACGTGAAGCCTGCTGCTGGGCTGGGCTCCCGGGCAAACGCACCAGGCCTACAGCCCAGCAGGACAGCCTGCAGAAGCAGCCAACCAAGACCCCAAGCCGCATTCGCGGCACAAGGGTGGCAGAGGGTGGGTTGCGGCGCCGCCAGCTCTCTGGTCCTGCGGGGGCCGCCTCGGTCCCGCCGCGGCGTGCCGCCAGCTCCCTACTCGTGGGGGAAGCTGCGCACCCTGCACCTCCTTGCAGAAAGGCTCCCCCCTTCTGCGGGAGCCTTCTCCCGTGCCTTGCTGGACTCTTGCCCGAGCCGTTGACCAGCCAGCCAGCCAGGAGGAGGAAGGTGGAGGCGAGCGGGAGGTGAAGCCGCTCGGGCGTGTGAGCCGCACGCCCCCTCTTCGAGGCAACGAAGCATAGGGGAGTTGCGCTTGCAACCCACGGCGCTCCACGGCGCATTCATAGAGAATTGCAAAGACGCAAAGAGGCTAGAAGGCGAAGAGGCACCCATTTGGCACCGGTCACCTTGGGAGATTTTCCTGCCCCCAAACCGCTGCGCGATTTAGGTGCTATGAAAATCTCCTGCAGGCTGCCCTCGCAGGAGCAAAGGGCAGCGACGTGAAGCCTGCTGCTGGGCTGGGCTCCTGGGCAAACGCACCAGGCCCAATGCGCCCAGGGCCCAGCACAGCAGATGCCATGGCACGCATGTGTCTGAAACGCAAAAGGCCGAATGCACAGACGCCTTGCCAGCGTGCTGCTTGGGCGAGCCCGCGCCTGAGTGCGCGGATTGCAGATCAGGGCAAGCCTCCGCTCGAGGATTCGCTTCTCGATTGCGAAGCCCGGCGCATCTGCGCCCAAGTGCGCGGGATCGCTCTGATTGCGACTTCAAGCGCGCCTGCGCCCGAATGTGCAGAATTGCCCCGAACGCAGTATCTGCCGCACCTGCGCCCGACAGCGCCGACGCGCGCTGCGATTACAACACTGGCCCTGCGCCCGATTGCGCAGAGTTGCGTCCCCATCCTGGTACCGGGCGCGCCTGGGCCCGAACAGACAGAATCGCGTTTTCCATCACAGTGCGAACACACCTGCGCCCGAACGTCCAGAACCACGCCACGAATGCGAAATTCGGCGCGCTTGCACCTGAGTGCCGAATCCTGCGTTGGGAAGGACAGCCGGCGCGCCTTCGCCCGAGCGTGCAAAATCGTACCCCGATCGGAATTCCAGACGCACCTGCTCCGGTTTAGGTTGATTGCGATTCAGAATTCCAGAAGTTCCTGCCCCTCGGATTCCCGATCGGATTCAAGGTGCGATTGCGGGTTCTGGGGCGCCTGCGCCAGCACGCGCGGCGCTTGCAGTCAAATTTGCGGGATCGCGTTCCAACTCTTATATCAGAAGCACGTGATTGCGATTCCGGCCGCGCCTGCAGCCAAGTGCACGGAATCGCGCTCCAATTCCGATGCCAGATGATGTGATTCTGGGCGCGTCTGCGCCCGAACGCGCGAAGTCGCGCCCCGATTGAAATCACAGACGCGCCTGCGCCCGATTCGCTGACCCCCACCTCGATCGCATTTTTCGCCCGCGCAATCGCATTTCAAATGCGATACCGGGCACGCTCGCGCCCGGAATGCACGGAGTCACGCCCCCAGTGGGATACGTGGCCGGAATGATTGCACGGAATCGCGCTCCCGTAACAACTATTGGCGCGTCTGCGCCCGAACGCGCAGATCGCGCCCCGAGTGCGGAATTCGGCGCGCTTGCGCCCGACTGCGCCGAATCGTGCGCCCAATCGCGCCGAGACGACGACAACCGCCCCGATCGCAATTCTGGGTGCCCCTGTGCCGAAACATGGATTCAGGCTCGGATTGCGGGCTCAGACGCGCACGCATCCGATTGCGATTCTGGGCGCGCTTGCGCTCTTGCGCCCGAATGCGCGGAATTGCGCTCCGATTAAAAATCTGGGCGCGCCTGCGCCCGAAACCAAGCAATCGCTTGCGCCTGTGCACGGAAGCACTGGATCGTGCTTTTACTTGCTACTGCAGAGCTGGGAGCCAAACAGGCGCAAACGCAAGCGCGAGGAAAATGAACACACATCCATTAGTGTGTCTTCGGGTTCTGCTTGTGACACATGAGACGTACGTTTGTGGGCGCTGACGGCGTCAGTTCTTTGCCTGCGTTCCCCAACTTAGCCCTCTTCGGCCGCAGCCGTTTCAGGTTCCCTCTAGTGATAACAATTGCAACGCAACGCCCTGTTTTCGTTCTGTCCTAGTGTTTCCCACGGCGCAATGGCGGAAGCAGCGGCGCAGGCAGCCATCACTGCCGCCCTCGAGCCGACGGGCGCCATCATGACAGCGATCACTGCCGAGATCACGAAGGCGTTCAATCAAGGGGAGGTCGGCGATCTCGCCATCACAGCCGGCGCCGCTGCTGCTGCCAACACGCACTCGGTGCCCGCTGCGGTTACGGCTCTCAAAGTCCCGGCTTCTGAACTGAGCAAAGCTGCGCAGGCCGAGTACGAGCGGCGGGCGGACGCGGCCTTTCCGCACAGGGCCCGTCTGCGCCAGCTTTCGGTCGCCGAGTGGGAAGCTGCTTGGCGCGACCTCGTGGTGGATGCGGACCACCTCGCGTCCACCTTTAAAGCTGCCGAGCAGAATCCCGCGCTTGCTAACATCTGGGCGCTGTCCGCCGCCAACCCGGGCAACGCCGAGTTGGCCGAGCTCAAGCGGGCTTCCACGGTGCGCTACGCCGCCAAGTTGCGGTGGAAAAGCTTGCGCTTCCCGGAGCAAGGCGGCTCTTGGGACAGGTTGAAGAACTACCTTACGGAGAAGGCCGATGCTCCGATCGACAATGTGAAGGCGCTCGCCCGGTCGCTCCTTGTCCCCCTCAACTTGACGGAGCGCCGCTGCACAGTCGCGCAGTCGGCCAAGCGCACGGGCCCAGAGAAAGCGGCTTCTCAAAAGACCGCTCTTCTCCCATTGATGTACCACACGATCAAGCAGTACAAGAAGCGCACCACGAAGGCCAGCGCATCAGTGTCCCTGGAGCACGAGATCCTGCTGCGCGATTTCGCCCGGGACCTCATCTTGGGCGAGGCGGCGCTGGTGACTAGCCTGGCTGGCTACCAAAAGGTCCTTCGACATCTCGGAGCTGTCGTCCGGCCAGGGGCTGTTCGAGGAAGAGGACCAGCCAGCGGCGAAAGTCCAGCGCTCCTCAGGTGCTGGCCCTGGTGGCTCCTCCCCGGCAGGCGGCGGCGCTGCCAAAGGCGCCGCCAAAGACCGCAAGCAGTTGGTCAGCCACCTCCTCAACGAGTTGTCGGCGCTGATCCCCAACAACCCCCCCAAGAAGCTCCAAGCGTGGATCGACAGGCGGTACCAAGTCGATGATGCTCACCGCAGCGCTATGATGACGATCTTCAGCAATCACGTGTGTAAAAACTGCTTGATGGCAAGCAAAGGCATCGTGAAGCACACCCTGAGGAAGTGCCGCGAGCTCAAGAACCCGCGCCTCCTCCCATGCACCAAGTGCACGGGCGCGGGTAGGACCACCAACGTCGCGCATTGGATGGCAGATTGCAAGTACTAGAGTGAGGTCCCAGCACCGCGTAGCTCGGGGCGGAAATTTGGAACCCCAAGGTTCGTCCCGTTCTAGCTTTTCTGACTCACGGTAGCCATCCTGCTCAGGGATACGCCCCCAGCCACTTTCATATCTTTCCGTGCGCGGCCTCTCGTGTGCGTAACCTCTGCGAATACAGCTCCATATTGCATCTCGTACGCCGCTCTGTTATTGCGACCGAGAGCGTGCCAAGACTTGTGAAAAATTGCCTCTATGGGGTGTCCGTTCACGTGTGCCGCTTCGTTCCCTCATGAACGAGCTATTTATATCGCTTCTCCGTAGCCAGGGAGGCTCGAGTTATGGAAGACCACGTTCACAGGAATGATTTCGCAGACAATGTTCCCGTGGGCACTTCCACCGCTCGAGAGCTGATCCTGGCGCCCGTGGCTGTTGCGCGCGCACCGGCGTCCCCTCGGCAGGGCGCGCGCCCGGAAGCGGTCGCCCTGGTGCACGCCGAGCCCCCTGACCCGCCGTTGCCTTCGCGGCGGCGAGGTTCGCCGAGGAGTTCTGCGCCAAGTTCACCAGGCCACTCGGTAGTTCCCTGGTCCAGCATGGTGGGTGGCCTCCGCAGATCCAGATTAGACCTCGAGCGCCCAGCTCCACGGGAGAGTTGGGAGCAAATGGCACGCGCGCCCTGGCTTGTGCACATCGCCGCGCACCGCGCTTGCGTTTGCATCTGGACCGGAAAAGTGAAAAACTGGGCCGCCGCTATGTTTCCGTGACGCCACGGTCTGCGGAAGAAGAGTTTCTTTTCGGCAGCGAGGGCGGGCGCCATCACGTTCGAAAAGCCGGCGGGCCGCGCCGGAACTAGAGGCAAATGCCGCAAGGGGGAGAAGAGGGGAAACGTGGGAGGATACCTCAGGCATCGAGAACCTTCACCAGTAGCGCGCATGCGGCCTCAGTACCGGAGACCGGGCACACCAAAGCGAGAGCCGAATGGTTGATACATCGACGACGCATCGTTGATGTCAGGGCGATACATCGCCGATGTATAAACGACACGGGGGCGGTCTGCATCGACGATGTATCGACGATACATGTGCGATGCATCGATCATTGGAGATCGATGCATCCCCCCTACGCCTACGCCCCATTATCGCTGCCCCTCAGAAGGACTACGGGGACGACACCATCAAAGAGGGCGGCGCCATCGACGGAGCCTTCGAGCTCGGCGGCGCTCCGGCTCCCACTGTTCACGGCGGCGGGGAGCCAGCCCCGGCGCAGGGGGCCGCGAACATGGACGATGAGGACGGACAGCCCCGCCTCTCGAGGCGGAGACCTCTCCTCAGTCCTCCTCCTCCTCCTCCTCCTCCTCCTCCTCCTCCTCCTCCTCCTCCTCCTCCTCCTCCTCCTCCTCCTCCTCCTCCTCCTCCTCCTCCTCCTCCCTCTTCCTCCTCCTCCTCCTCCTCCTCCTCCTCCTCCTCCTCCTCCCCCTCCTCCTCCTCCCCATCCTCCTCCTCCTCTTTGTTCCTCCTCATCCTCCTCCGCCTCCTCCGCCTCCTCCTCCTCCTCCGCCTCCTCCTCCTCCTCGTCCTCCCTCCTCCTCCTCCTCCTCTCCTCCTCCTCCTCCTCCTCCTCCTCCTCCTCCTCCTCCTCCTCTCTCCTCTCGTCCTCCTCCTCCTCCCCCTCGTCCTCCTCCGCCTCCTCCTCCTCCTGCTCCTTTTCCTTTTCCTCCTCCTCCTTTCCCTCCTCCTCCTCATCATCATCATCATCATCATCATCATCATCATCATCATCATCATCATCATCATCATCATCATCATCATCATCATCATCATCCATCATCATCATCATCATCATCATCCTCATCATCATAATCATAATCCGCATCATCATTATCCTGGTCCTTCTCCCCCTGCTCCTCCTTCTCTGTTTAATCTTATTGTTATTCTTTGTGTTGCTCCCATTATTATGATTAGTTTGATTATTATCACTATTTTTCTCATTACTCGTATTCTTAGTTGTTCCCTATTCTTCTTATTTGTATTATGCTTGTTCTTCTTAGTATTATTATTGTTCTTTTTAGTCTGATTAGTCTTATTATTATTATTATTATTAGTTGTCCTCCTCCTCCTCTTCCTCCTCCTCTTCCTCCTCCTTGTCCTCCTCCTTCTCCCCCTGTTCTTCCTCCTCCTCCTTCCTTTTCCTCCTCCTTGTCCTCCTTGTCCTCTTCCTTCTCCTCCTTCTCCTCCTCCATTCCTTCTCTTTACAGATAGCTCCTCCCTGTCGCACCCTGAGGCCAGTTTTTGCGGCGGGCCTGGCGTTTCGCTTGAGACTTCCTCACCATCTATGACTCTGAAGTTTAAAAAGTGGCAACAGCTTCACAGATGGAGGGCGGGTCGTTTTTAAAATGTGGCTTTCGCCTTAGCGCCGCGCACATTCGTTCTCAAAATTTGCAAGAGCTTCACGGATTGAGGGCGGGTGGTTTTCAAGCTGTGGATCTTGCTGTAGCGACGCGCACATTCGCTCACAAAATCCGAGAGAGCTTCGCGGATTGAGGGCGGGGTTGGTTTTCAAACTGTGGCTCTCGCCTTAGCGCCGCGCACATTCGTTTTCAAAAATTGCAAGAGTTTCACGGATTGAGGGCGGGTGGTTTTCAAATTGTGGATATTGCTGTAGCGACGCGCACATTTTTTCAAAAATTGCAAGAACGGGTTGAGGGCGGGTGGTTTTCAAAATGTGGTTCTCGCATTAGCGCCGCGCACATTCGTTTCAACTTTGCAAGAGTTTCACGGATCGAGGGCGGGTGGTTCTCCAAATGCGGCTCTCGCTTTAGCGCCGCGCACATTAGTTTGCAAAATTTGCAAGAATTTCACGGACGGAGGGCGGGTGGCTTTCAAATTACGGCTCTCGCCTCAGCGCAGCGCCTCACGGATTTCCATGATCAACGTACCAGAAATTGCATTTTGGACGGATTCCGGATTATGCGGGTGCAATAGTTATGTTGATTCGCAGTGTTGAAGTCCCAACAATGGCGTTCTGGCACGATTCCGGATCGTCAAGACGCAGCAGTCAGTTTGATACGTGGCGTTGAAATCCCGAGAATAATGTTTTGGTATGCTTCAGGACCTTCAAATGGTTGTCTTCCACCGATGCAATGCCCTCAATGGGAATGAACCGCTGTGGGGGCCTATGAAGAGGGAGTTTGGAGGGATGGTTAATTCCGACATCGTTGATGACTCTTGGGTCCTCATCTCCTCCTCCTCCTCCTCCTCCTCCTCCTCATCATCATCATCATCATCATCATCATCATCATCATCATCATCATCATCATCATCATCATCATCATCATCATCATCATCATCATCATCATCGTTATCGTCATCATCATCATCACCATCATCCTCATCATCATCAGCAGCAGCATCATCAGCATGACCATCACCATCATCAGCGTCACCACCACCATCACCAGCTTAATCATAATCAGCAGCATCATCATAAGCATAATCGCCAGCAGCAGCACTATCAGCAGCATCAGCATCAGCGCCATCGTTATCTCCATCTTCATCATCAGCACCATCATGATCATCCTCATCGTAATCATCATCATCAGCAGCATCAGCATCAGCAGCAGCATCATCAGCAGCATCATCATCGTCATACATGGGCGTGATTAAAGTTTGGCCCTTTTCTAGCATAGCCGAAGTAATGGCTACAATGCATCCACACGCTGTTGTGGCATGAGGGGGTGCTTCGATCGGTGTCGTTGTGATGTGGAGCTGGTTGCACCGAAATATAATCAGTGCTACTTGGGCGCAGCAGCGCCTGAGCACCGCAGTGACAGTGAGCACCCAGATGCCTGTGGGCACAACATCGCCAAGATCCACCCTTATCCTTCCACCACTCCTCCCTCCAACTTGAAGTTGCAGCGGAGACACACTGGTTGAGTTTGTATTTGATTTGCGCTGGGAATCGAGACGGCTGCGACCGCACGCGCATTTCTTCCAAGACAGTTGTTTACCTCTTGGATTCGGCCTGAGCTGGATCATACCGCCTGAGTCCAACAACGCCTCAGCACCAGTGACTCTGAGCTCTTGCTAGTGAACACCAGGAACGCAGAGCGCAGCAACATCGATAAGCCTTGAAAGTTCATCGATGCAAGCTCCACCCTCATCACCCGTGTCCTACATGTTGCATGGATAATCGTATTGGATTTGCGATAAGAACCGAGACTGTTGCGACCACGCGCGCATTGCTCGATCATCAGAGTCCAGCAACGCCTGAACACCACTCATCGCCACATTGCCAGTTGCTGGCTCAAGTACGCTGTGAAAGTTGATCGATGCAAGCTCCTCCCTCATCCTCCCACCCCTCCTCCCCCCACTACATCGCCAAAAGTTGCAGCGAGGACGACCTGGATTTGACATTGGACTTACGATTTGACGAGACTGTTGCGATGCAAGCGCCTCGCCTTGTTGCAGCTGCTATTGGAAGAACCGAGACTGTTGCGATTGCTCGATTTGAGCCGGATCAACACTACCCGAGTCCAGCAACGCCTGAACACCACTGTGAGTGTGAGCACCCGGCCGCCTGTGAACGCCACATTGCCAGTGAACACACTGCTGACAAACAGCTCAAGTACGCAGAGCACAACAATATCAATAAAGCCTGAAAGTTGATCGATGCAAGCTCCTCCCTCATCCTCCACCCCTCCTCCCCCCAACTTGCCCCAAAAGTTGCAGCGAGGACGACCTGGACGAATTTGCATTGGACTTACGATAGCAATCGAGACTGTTGCGATCACGCTCGCCTTTACTGCTAGAAGGTCATGTTTTGACTGCTGGATTGGGCCTTGGAGCTGGGGTCAAACCCAAAAAAAAACGACTTGGCCCAGACAATATCTTATTTCGAACGATCCCCACCGAAACCTTCGGCGCCTGTCCTACTCCTCCTCTTCCTCGTCCTCATCATTTCCCTCCTCTTCCTCCTCCTCCCACTCCCTTCCCCTCATCCCTCCTTCCTCCTCCTGTCCTCCCTGTTCCTCGTCCTCCCTCTTCCTAACATACTGGTTTTCCAATAGGAAATGGGGTACATCAGGCGGCCCAAGCAGAAGCAGCCCAAACGGGCGGATGAGTCGTGCTTTCCCCGTTGGATTCGGCCTCCGACTGGAAATCCACCAGGGGCCCGCCAGGCAAGAACACCGCCCCAATCAGCACCAGCGCGAGGGTGGCAGTGGGTGGGAAACGCGCTTCCCCAGGCTGCCCTGCGCAGAAGCTTCGCAGAAGCTTCGCAGGCGCCTCGGAGACGCCTCGCAGACGCCTCGCAAAAACTTCGCAGACGTCTCGCAGACGCCAGGCAGCAACCAACCAACCAACCAGCCAAGCGAAGCAACCACGGCACGCCCGCCGAGCGGCCGAGCAGGCTGAGCGCCATCCGGCGCTACGCCAAGCCCCAGGAGCATGGCCGAGAGGCTGCAACCAACCCCCCAGCCAACTGAGCAGCGAGGACGAGGAGGAGAGGACCACCTGCCGCCCAGCAGCACCCAGGCCGTGAGAATGCCCCAGCCAAGGACGAGGAGAGGAGAACCGCCTGCCGTCCAGCAGCGCCCGAGCCGTGAGAATTCCCCTGCGGTGCCAGGAAGCGGAGAAGCCAAGAGGCCCCAAGAAGGCCTGCCCCGCGATTTTCCTGCCCCGCAAACCGCTACGTATGAAAATCTCGTTGGCCCGGCCGCGTGCCGGTTGTGTGGGCGGCGTTCCCGCGCCGTCTATGGGCGAGTGGAACCATTTGGCGCCGCCAGGCTGGCCCAGGGGCCCAATGCATCCAGGGTGGGCCAATTGGCCTCGCCAAACTCGTGCAGCCAGGACGGCCGCGAGGCACAACCAATGCGCACAATCGGACCCATTTTTTGGCACGCCCACTGCATCCGAGTGTGCCTAACCTTCCTCGTCGCAGCTCGAATCGGAGAAATCCGCGAGCCACTGGCCGGCTGCCGCCTCGCCTCTGGATTGTGCTGTCGCGTAGCCGAAAGCGGCGAGCCCTCTCCATCCGCCCGACCAGAATAAAGCAGAGGGCCCACCGGCCCGAAGTGCATCATTCGCAAAACCACGTCTGAATGCATGGGTTCCCCAGTGCGGCGCCTGGGGGAAGGCGAGCGCCGCGGCGCCAGCCTTGAGAAAACCCAGCGCATCTGCGTAACTGATGTGCGAGAATGGCTCTGCGGCTGCCTGGGCTGCTTCAGCGAGCGCGCAGACGCCGCAGAGCGGGTGCGCACCATCTGCGCACAAGCACTTTCTCGCGACCTCCA